ATCCTCCAATAAAGGTGTGACTTACTATCAAAGCAAGTAGACGTTGCATGAAGTCTGGCCTAGCCAGGGGCAGGGCTTGGCCTTGGGTGTTGTACTTTAGAAAGCACCAAGTAACCCACTTGCTCTTACATTTGCTTTTCAAGAAACATCAACACAGCAAACTTTGCTCTATTAAAGAGAGTAGCACTCTAAAATAATTCTGCCACAAGCCAGGTTCCCTCTCATGATGCAGTCACTCAATTCTTCTGCCCTCCTGTCATGAGATCTAAAAAGAACACTTAGAAAGTTCACATGCCAAAATTCCCAGCTGGAGCATGTTACAAAGGTCATATCACCAAATCAGTTTTTAAAAACTAGAGATTATAAATGTCTCTTAATAAAACCACATTATTAACTTCACCTCATGTTATAAACAGATATAATTAAATGAGTAATGGCTTCCTGTAGCCTCTTTTAAAAATTATGATTTGTCTGAGCTCTACAATGATTTTTTTCAATGAGACAACATATTTGTAAACTTTTGAATTTATTACAAGAGACTGGGAAACTTACAGATATTTGGGCAGGTCTCAAAAGTTGACAGAGAAAGCTGTTGGCATAAGGAAGGAAGGAAGGAAGGTGAGGCTGAAGTCTCTGAGGTATTATGAGGAAGAGATAGAAGGGCTGGAAGGATTCAGAGAGAAAACTTCTATATTGATGGAGGTCCACCACATAGCTTTTAAGGGAAAAGCAGCCTTATTGTCTCTTTTAACTGTAGATTCTACTGACTTTTTGTTGTTCTTACACACATCATGTGTTTTGCTTCAGAACTCTTTTTCAGTAGCTTTAGTGTCTGTCACGCTGTGTTTAAGAATGAGACAGCGAGTGTGCCCATAGACACTGAAAGTTTCACAGTTATGTTGGCAAGTACCTGTTGGGAAACACTGTGCCACTAGTCTAAAAAAATTATACAAGTTTTCTTCTTATGGAACCCCAAACACATACAAATACATAAACTTTTATGAAGTACACTCAATGATGACAACAAATAGGTGGACTTTTCAATTTAATCCAACAGATGAGACCACTCAAAGCCAGTTCAAATGCATATTTACATATTTGGAGTTACGAGCAACCTAGAAAAAGAAACTTATTCAAGTATTTATTTTAATAGCATCTTTTATTTCCATGAACAATGACACAGAAGAATCATGTACATAACAACACTTTCTCTTCTGTAACTCCATGAAAAGAATGTTTCTAAATTCTCCAAATGCCTATTGTACCTCAGAGGTATGCAATTGAAAAACTGACACATTTAGCAAATACTTGATTTGAGTCAAACCGTTAAAATTTAGGGAAAAAAAGATTAAAATACTTACAAACTGGGCAGTTTTTAAAACTAGACCTCTAAGACACTCCTGGGTCATCCATAATATATGAGTCACTCTTAAGAATGGTAACATAAGTATAATTTCTTTTAACATAGGGCTAGTTCATGTAATAACAAAATAAAATAGCTGGGGTGAAAATTCATTTTCAACTTACTACAGGATTTCAAAACAACTTAAGCAAGAGATAATTTATTTGCACTCATATATAACTCAGTTGAGTTTTAAATAAATGCAAATTACCCTTAAGAAATTTTTAATCCCTAAGAATGCAAACTCTATAATTTTTAAATTCTCATAAATGAGAATTTAATGTAGGATATTGCATGCTATTGGCTGATTTTTTCATTCATTTTTAAGTTTCACAGCAACTTTTATTTTCTAGAATACTTCACATTGAAAGAATAGGTTGCCAATAATCTTTTCTGCAAAAATAGAATTGTTTAAAGATTTATACCAATTTTCTTTTACTTTCTATAAGTACTTGAATAGAGTAGTTAAAAATCAGAATGCCTTATAGAAAGTAATCATTTAACTTAATCCATATAGTCAAAATACCCAATATTTAAAATGTCAAGAAAAAGCTTGTAATTTAATAAATGAAAATTGTACTGTTTAATAAACGGTATATTCTGTCTTTATTTGTATTTTCGGTAGGTAGATACAATTGCAGAACAGCAAAGTATACCTCCTATAAAGGTCAGATTCAAGTAGCATGGCAGTTTGTAGTCACATTTTCATTTCATATCTGCTGTAAGAAGAACTACAGAGAACATACTTTCAGATACTGAATCTGGATGTTGAATTAACTGTCATGCAGCCAGCATAAGAATTGCTGACTAGTGGAATAACAAACTTTAGTTCAATACTTGACATTTTGGATATATTTAGTGAGCAGCTAAACAATGAAAGATAATGTTAATGAACATAAAAATGAAGGTTTAAGCATGAAACAGTAACCATAAAAATGGACACTACTACATGGAGATTATGAATATTAAAGCTTGACAGTGTCTTCATGTTGATGGTGGGTTTAAAATCTCTGTTCAGAACTACAGAACTATCCAGAGTCAAAAATATGTATTCCAGGGCTTATTTCTTTCTAAAGGAATTAATTTCCAAAATAGTTTAAAATATAAATGTCTTCATTTTTTAAAAAGGCATGTTTCTTTCAAAAAAGCAAGAGCAATATCTGTCTGGGGATGAGGAAACACACCTTATTAACAAGGGTGCCTGAACGATGCATATTTGTATACCTAACCCTTAATTGTACCCCACAGTTTTATAATAAAAAATATGTTTAAAAACAAATTTTTAAAAAAAGCAAGAGCAAAATAAAATCACTTGTTTTCCTATTCCCTCTAGATAACCAATACATATTTGAGTGCTATGATGTGGACAGCACTAAATTTATTAACAAATTTTTGATGTAAAATTAGCACTTTAAAAACAAATACACATATTTTTACATTGCTTGAATTAAGTCTTACAAAAATAAATGTACCTAGTATAAGCCAATAAATCTCATTTTATCATTTAGTTATTGATAGAGTTCAATTATCTTCTTAAAATGTTCTAAAATGTATCAGGTCCAATCTGCATTAAATAATCAAATCACATCAAATAAAATCAAAAATCCTGATTCTATTCACCTAGCCTCCCTTCATCATCAGAGCAGAAAAAAATGAAAGTAAGCCAAACATTCTCCTTAAAACTGAGAAACTGGCCAGGCTCCATGGCTCCAGCCTGTAATTCCAGCACTTTGGGAGACCAAGGCGAGTGGATTGCCTCGTGGGCTCGAGACCAGCCTGGGCAACTTGGCGAGACCTCGTCTCTACAATAAATCAAAAATTAGCTAGGCATGGTAGCATGTGCCTGTAGTTCCGGCTACTTGGAAGGCTGAGGTGGAAGGATCACCGGAGCCTAGCAAGTCGGCGCTGGGTGGCTGTGAGCATGTCACTGCACTCCAGCCTGGGTGATGAAGTGAGACTCCAACTCAAAAAAAAAAAAAAAAAATGAGAAACTCAATGGGTTCAATCTTTCAGTTTAGGTACAATAAGTTCAACTATTCATGAATTTACTACGTTAACTTTTTTTTCTTTCTTAAGTAAAGACAATCAAAGTCAAATACTAGAAAAACTAAGGGCAACAATAGATAAACATATAATTATATATTTGAATTGCAAGAACCAAAGTGAAAGCAAACACACACCCATATGCAGAAAACCAGCGTCAACACTCATTTAAGTTCACATAATCAGACAATAATTATGATCAGAATATTTGGACTAAATTGCCTTATTTTCTTCCTGTCCTATAAGATAGAAATTCAAAGCACTCTAAATGCTGATTAATCAAGCATAGGCGGGAATTGTGAGTAATAAATACTGATTATTGTTAGAGTAGTTGGGGAGTAGTTGGGGTCTCATCAGGCAAAGACCTATTTCTGGAGCATGATAAATACATATTGCTTAAGACTTTGATACTGATGATATTGGGTTCTGAAATCTGGGAAAATTTTGCATATAGAAATAATGTATCTTTTCACAGAAAAAGTGCAAGGGAAACAGACAGAGACAACAGTGCTACTAATTTTTCTTAATGATTCCTCCTGTAAGCCTAGTCTAAAAATGGTTAATCCCCAGAGATGCAGTGTGTGATGTTTCTTTAATGATTTTCTCAGGTGGTTCTTTGAAGCTCTGAAGTATCCAAAGTTTTCCAAAGCTAATGTCACATGCATTTTTTAGATAAAGGAATACATCTCTTAAGGATGTCTATCAGAACTGTCCTAAAACCTTGCTATAAAAATTTAAAAATCAATAATTTGATAAAATACTAATACAGAAATAAGAATGTGAAATCTGAAAAATCTGGCAGGAGGTATTTTCCCTGACAAAACTAATGAAATATTTCCAAAGTGGTAAAATACTTCACCATTAATAGATGATTGTATATCTGAAATGAAAAATACATCACTTCTAAATAGGCTAGCAAAAGAACATGCCCAAAATTTAGAAATTAAACCCTACAGAGATACTGACAGCCTAGTAAGTAAAGAGTACAGTATGACAAATGTTAATAGCTATTTACAGATTTAACAGCAGTTCCCATTCTTTTAGCAAAATTGGTGACAACACCCACTTTGCCAAATTATCATAGTCAACAGTCATCTTTCATAGAGAAATATACCAAAGTAGGTTAAGTGATTTCTGAAAAGATTTCCCACCGTCTTCATAATATTTTATTTAAACCTTTAAGATTTTATCCATGCTTATAAATAATGTGGAAGACAAGCAGAAAAAAAAATCTTGGGATGGAAACTAAACTTTAGTTTCTCTTTTCTAAAGGTAAAAATAAAGACACTGAAACCCTGGATAACAATTATATTTGATTTTTTCAAAAGCCTCACCAAAACATTGTGAAACAGTATGGAAAGACAAACACAGTGAACCCCAATTCAAGAAGAAAAATGAATATTCATCAGAACAGCAAAGGACACCCCAGATCTCAGAGAGGAGAAGGGCAAACAGTCCCTGCAGTAGCACTCTGCACAAGAACATGCCAAGAATTCATCCTCTCAGCAGACGTAATGTCAGGTAGTAATAAAATTTGCTTATCAGAATCATACCTTTAGTCAAGTTTTCCATTCTGAAGACTACTTTTGGCTTTCTCTTGTCTGAGGAGAGAGATGACTTTGATGTACCCTTTTGAAATTTTGATCATCCACATGACATTCATCACATCCAAAGCAACACAAGTAGAGGCCCAGGCACTTTGGGCTAAAAATCCCAGCCTTATGTAGGGTTCTGTTCCATATACAGAATACATGAAGCCATAAAAAGGAGGTATCGAGGCAATCCGCACGATGAAGAAAACCACTGTCATGAGCGCTCCATTGATGATGTTAGCTTTGGAAAACTTGGGATACTTCAGAGCTTCAAAGAACCACCTGAGAAAATCATTAAAGAAACATCACACTTACACTGCATCTCTGGGGATTAACCACTTTTAGTTTTTAAAGTTCAATAACCATCCCCTTAAGGTTTACATAGACAGGTAAAGAGCCTAGAATAGTCTAGAAGGCTGAAAAAGAACAAAGTTGGAGGACTCACACTACAGATTTCTATGACTTACTATAAAGTTGCAGTAATCAAGACAGCACAGCCCTAGTGAAAGAATAAACAAATAAATTAACGGAACAAAACAGAGAGCTCAGAAATAGACCCACACAAATAGACTCAACTGAGTTTTGACCAAGGTGTAAAGGTAATTCCATTGAGAAAAGGGGTCTTTTCAACAAACTGTGCGATATTATATGTCCATATGCAGGACAATGAACTTAGGCAGAGCCCTCACACAAACATTAACTCAAACTGGATTACAGACCTAAATGTGAAACGCAAAATATAAAACTTCCAGAAGAAAAAAAAAAACCTGTATGAACTTGGTTATAGTGATGGTTTTTTACGTACAATACAAAAAGCACAATCCATGAAAGAGAAAATTGATAAGCTAGACGTCACTAAAACTAAAAACAAAACAAAAAAAGTGCTCTGTGAAAGACAAGAAAATAAAAAGACAATTTCCTTGTTTGTTTTCTTCTTCCAAGATGGCAGACTAGAAGTTTTCAAACATACCTCACAGAAACATTGTGAAACAGTGTGGAAAGACCAACATGAAGGAAAATGGATATTCATCAGGTCAGCAAAGGACTCCCCAGATCTCGGGAATGGGAAAGGCAAACGCCCTACCACCACCACCCCCCGCCATAGCACACTGCAGAGAAAAGTGAGTGTGGCCCAGAAGACCGGATAGGACTGAAACCTTGCTCCTGAGATATACCTTCCAATCAGGGATCTGCTTAATCCAGGTCAAGGGAAAACACCCCAATTTCTCCTGAGCCCAGGAGCTGTCTTGGGGAGGCCGAGAGTTGGCAAGAAAAAAGACACCCAGTAAAGCCATGGGTATTCTTCCAAACCCAGGTCAGTAAGGAGAACACCATTTTGACCCAGGTCCAGTGTCTTAGCCACAGCGACTGCTACAGGCATTTTGGTTTCTGCCCACAGACTAGGCTGCTGGGTCTGGAGCAGGAGCCGGGCCTCCCAAAACCTGAGCAGGGCAGGGAACATGGATCCTACCCCAGAGTTTGGAACCAGACCTGGGTTCATCCCAGCCACAGGCTGGGAGCAGCAGGGAATTCCCCCAAAGCCGTGTTTACCTCCCAGAAAGAGACACAAGCAGCCAGAGTCAGATCTGCAACCTGGAGTCAGTCTCTGCGCATCACTGAACTCCCGCAGGTTATGGCAAGGGGCCCCAGCAAAACCCAGAATAGAAACCTAAATGACAGGAGCCTAGCCAGGACCCACGCTCCGGAATTTACAACCCGAGGAGAAGAGGTAGCTGTAGCTGCGGCTTCTCATGAACAGCTAGTCCTACGGCCATCCCGGCACTCTTCAGCGAGCACCACTGTTAAGAACCCTAGCCTCCCTCCAGGACGAGTTAGGGGAGCAAGCTCCGGCAATACTCAGGAAAAGGAGGGTCCCTCACTCCTACACAACTGGGAAAGCAGTCCACGTGGCAGGAGACCAGCAGGCGGGACCTCACCCCTCTGCACTTGAGTCAGCGGCCTGAGAGGCAGGACAGTTCCTGATCCCATGTTTTCTCCAGGGTAGTGAGGTCTGGTGCCAAGGTCAGCTGGAACTGGGCTGCAGGTATCATTGTGGAGGAGCCACAGCCCCTCTTTGCCTGCTGAGGAAGTGTGTGTGCCCATACCCCCAGTACCAAGGACCTGGCAGCCCCCGTCGATACAGACCCGGATTAGTCGTCTAGCCTCCCTGCGCCTAGAGTAGGAACCCCTCCCCCAGGGGCAGAGCCCTTGGTGCAGCGCTGTTCTCTCTGCTCAGCCCCCAGACTTACCCCAGGTACCCTGGAGCTACTGCTCTTCTAGATAAGGCACTCGGGCCACCCCCACCCCTGGAGACCGCACACCAGACCCCACCTCGGAGCAGTGCCTGTGCCTGACATCAGTGGACCATTGATGGGCCTGCCAGTTCAGCCCTTCCCCTCTTGGTTTTCCCTCCCCAGGGCTGAACTAGGAGGTAGACCACAGGGCCCTCCACAGAGCAGCTCGCAGCTGAGATAGAAGAGCACTTCTCACAGTAAACAAGGATCGGGGAAATACCCATCCACGTGACAGTCGCCAGCTCTCATCCACTTGCGCCACCTACTGGCCTGGAGGTTGAATAACGCGTCACAAGCGTAGACCACCAAGGAGTAAGTGAAGCCTCCTGAGACCCCCACCACCCCAGGCTCACAGGAGCAGTCAAGCCAGCCCACCTCCTGACTACATTACTATTACAACCAACACTTGGGAAAGGCTACATACAAAGCTATCTATATCAAAGGAACTCATACAGATTAGCTGCCATTGTTCATCCAGATAAGAACCAGAGAAACAATCATGAAACATTAAAAAAAGGGTTACCCCTCCAAAGGGGCACACCAATTCTTCAACAAAAGAACCTCACCAAAATGAATTCCTGAAATGTCAGATAATGAGTTGAGAATATTGATTATAAAGCCTAATGAGATATAAGATAAAGCAGATAACTAACACAAATAAATTAGCAGAACAATTCGGGAGATGAAAACAAGATTGAAAACATTTTTTAAAAACAGTTTTAAAGAGGGGCCACCTGAACCTTTACCATGATACAAAAAGAAAGGGGTTGGCAGTAGCAGGACACTACCAGGGGAGGAGGGGGGACACATAACATCAATAAAGGTACCTGATGTCAAACCAGGCAAAGTGGGGACCAAAGGGAGGCCCAAACTTTGCCTGTACAATGACCACTTGTATACGTAAATCTGAATTGTACCCCACATCTTTAAAATAAAAAAAATGTTTAAAAAAGAGTGGGTCCCACATTCTTGATGAGGCCTTGCATGACAAGTATCAATCAATAATAGGTCTTGGAATGTGGTCCCTGGACCCCTGAGTCCTTTTCAGGTGGTCTACAAGGGAAAACAGTTTTTATGATAATATGAAAATGTTATTTGCCTTTTTCATTGTGCTGACTTCTGCACTAATGGTGCAAAGCACTAGTGAACAAAACTGTAGGCATCTTAGCACAAATCAAGGCAATTCCAAGAAATGGTATTAGTGGCTACTCTTATTTTTTACTGGCATGCACTTGTAGTTCAAAACAAAACCAGAAAAAAGAAGAAAAAGCTTCACTTAGGAATGTCTTTGATGAAGCAGTAAGAATTATTAATTTTATTAAATCATACCTTTGAGTACATATCTTTTTAGTATTTATTGTGATAATGTAGAAAGTATACATGAAGCACTTCTGCTGCAGAAGACAAGGGTTGTCTTGAGGAAAAACTCTTGGGTGATTGTTTGAACTACAGCTTAACTACCTGATTCCAGAAAACACCATTCTTGCTTGAAAAAAAACAGCAAACTATGGTTGCTTGAGCCATTTGGCAGGCATCTCAAAAATGAACAAAGTGGGCTTATCATACCAAGGAAAGCAACTGACAGACAGTGTTTGTTGCCAGTAAACAAATATCCCAGCACTTTGGGAAGCTGAGGAGAGAAGACTACCTGAGCTCACAGGTTCGAGAACAGCCTGGACAACATGGTGAGACCTCATCTCTACAATAAATCAAAAAATTAGCCAGGCATGGTAGCGTGCCTGTAGTTCCAGCTACTTGGAAGGCCGAGGTGGAAGAATCCCCAGAGTCCAACAGGTCGATGCTGGGGTGGCTGTGAGCATGTCACTGCACTCCAGCCTGGGCGACAGAGTGAGACTTCAACTCAGGGGGAAAAGAAAGTAAATTTTCAAATGATCAGAATTTTTGAAAATTTGTATCTGCCACTGTGAGCCAGCTTCCCAATACTTAAATACTTTTCTAATGAGATCTAAGGTTACATTAACTAACACGGGCTTTAAAAATATATCATTTAGCTGGGCTCGGTGGCTCAGCCTGTAATCCCGCGCCTTTGAGAGACTGAGGTGAGTGGATTGCCTGAGCCTGCGGGTTTGAGACCCGCCTGGGCAGTGAGACCTCATCTCTACAATAAATCAAAAAATCAGCCGGGCGTGGTAGCGCATGCCTGTAATTCCGGCTACTCGGAAGGCTGAGGCGGAAGGATCGCCGGAGCCCAGCAGGTCGAGGCTGCGGTGGCCGGGAGCGGCCACTGCACTCCAGTCTGGGCGACAGAGTGAGACTCCAACTCAAAACAAACAAACAAACAAACAAACAGCAACAAAAAACATCATCTAATAAATGTGTCAATCTCTATAAGATCTATGTAACTCAATGAACCGATATTTTCCATGTGACCAAGATGTAGAGAATCAAAGTTATGCATGGGTAAAAGATTCAAAGCCCAAGAGAGACCAACGGATTTGAATGTAGCAGAATATAAATAGTTCATTGATATGGTTTCAGATTTTACATTTAAGTACCCTTTAAGAAACTAATTCCGCTGGACTCAGTGGCTCAGTCTGTAATCCCAGCACTTTGGGAGGCCGATGCGAGTGGATTGCCTGAGCCTGCGGGTTCGAGACCAGCCCGGGCAACTTGGTGAGACTTTGTCTCTACAATAAATTGAAAAAATTGGCTTGGCATGGTAGTGTATGCCTGTAGTTCTGGCTACTTGGAAGGCTAAGGCAGAAGGATCGCAGGAGCCTAACAAGTCAACGCTGGGGTGGCCACGAGTGTGCCACTGCACTCCAGCCTGGGCAACAGAGTGAGACTCCAACTCAAAAAAAAAAAGAAAGAAAGAAACTACTTCCTAGCATATTTCAGTGAGGTATTAGAGAAGAATATCCACAATTATTTGAAAGGCTACTAAAATGCTTTTCCTTTTCTTAGTAAATTATTAACTCAGAGAGGCCAGATATTTTTCATATGCCTCAACCAAAACAACATATCACAACAGACTGAAAATAAAAGCAGACTTGAGAATCAGCTGAATTCAGACATGAAAGAAATTTGCAAAAATGTAAAACGATGACACTCTTCCCACTGAATTTTTGGGGTTTTCTTTTGGTCATGTATTTCTCTCTCTCTCTCACTCACACACACACACAAATATTATGTTAACATGTAATGTTATTGTTAGTGTTAAATGAATTAATAAATACATTTAAATGTTTCCATTTTAATTTCCAATCTATTAAGTACCAATAGATGTAACCCACCAAAAAAAAATGTTCACTCAGGTCCTCAATAATTCTTGAGACCAGAGCTGAGCGAGGTGGTTTGTGCCTGTAATCTCAGCTACTCGTAGGCTGAGCCAGGATGACTGAGTTCCAGGTCAGCCTTGGCAACATAGTAAGACCCCATCTCTAAAAAATAAATCAATAATAATAATAACTTATGAGACCAATAAGACTACAAGCACATGCCACCATGCCTGGTTAAGTTTTTTTTCATTATGATAATTAAGCAATTAATGGCCAGCCTGGGCAACATAGCCAGACACACCTCTACAAAAAACAAATTTTTAAAAATTAGCCAGTGGTAGTGGTACCTGCCGGTAATCCCAGCTACTCAGGAGGCTGAGGCATGAGGATCAGTTGAACCCAGTGAGCCACGATCACACCACTGTACTCCACCCTTGAGTAACAGAGTGAGACCCTGTCTCAAAAAAAAATCTATATAACCCAAAGCAATCTACAGATTCAATATAATTCCTATAAAAATCTCAATGGCATTTTTTTGCAGAAATATTTTAAAAATTCTAAAATTAATATGGAATCTCTCAAGACCCTAAATAGCCAAGACTATCTTGAAAAAAGAATAACAAAGTTGGACTTCCAACATTTTCTTATTTCAAAACATACTACAAAGCAATAGTAATCAAGATGGTGTGGTATTGGCACAAAGACAGACATACAGACCAATGGAACAGAACACAAAGCTGGAAATAAACCTTTGCATATATGGCCAAATGGCTTTTGATAAGAGTCTCAAGACTACAAACAGGGAAAGGATAGCCTCATCAGCAAATTTTCTAGAAAACCTGTATATCCCTTTTCAAATGAATAAAATTGGGGCCTTACAACATATACAAAAAATTTATTCAAAATGGATTAAAGACCTAAACATGAGACCAAACCTTAAAGCACTAAGAAGAAATTAGAGGGAGAAACCTTCAGGACATTGAACTTGGCAATGATTTTTGGAGATATGATACCAAAAGCACAGGAACAAAAAGACAAATTGGACTGCATTGACTTTAAAACCGTCTGCACATTGAAAGAAACAATCAACATAGTGAAAAGGCAACCTATGGAACAGTTGAAAGGATCTGCAAATAATTACTCTGATACTATCATCTTCTGATATGATTAATATTCAAAATATAGAAGAACTACTACAATCTAATATCAAAGAAAACCTGGAGGAGCATACCTCATTAACAGGGGTACCTGCATGATCAATGTTTATGTACCTAACCCTGGATTGTACCCCACATCTTTACAATAAAAATGTTTTTAAAAATGAGCAGACTTGAATACACAATCTTTCAAAGCCATACAAATGACCAAGATACATAGGAAAGATGCTCAACATCATGAGTCACAGAAAAAAAGCAAATCAAAACTACATGAGACATCATCTCACACTCATGAAGACTGCTACTATCAAAAGAACAAAAAATAACAAACATTGGTGAGGATGTAGAGAAATAGGAACTCTTGTGCTAAGCAAAATAAGCCAGTCCCAAAAGGACAAAGTAATCTAAGGTCGTCAAAAAGTCACAGAAACAAACAGTCAACAATAAAAAAGTGGTTATCAAGGGTTGGGGGGAGGGAAAAAAGGAATTAGTGTTTAATGAGTATTTCAATTTTGCAAGATGAAAATGTTCTAGAGATCTGTTGCACAACAATGTGAATATACTTAGCACTCTGATCTGTATTCTTAAAAACAGTTAAGATGGTTCTTTAAAAATTCCTGTGATGGATATCAATATTGTACATTTATTGGTTTAGTCATTTATATTGTGTGTATTTGAAATAAAAGTAGTCTTTTAAATTTAAAAATTAAATAAAAATAAAATGATTTCTTAAAAATGAGAGACTAAGATAACATTGATAACAGAATTTGGGGACAAGAGGAAGTTAATGTCAGGGATATTAACTGAACCCAACATGAGCCAGAGTGGCGTTTGTTCTTTTCCATAAAGAATTCCATGGAACCAGGTATGGTGGCTCCCGCCTATAATCCCAGCACTTTGGAAGTCAGAGGCAAGAGGATTGCCTGAGTCCAGTGGTTCGAGAGCACCCTGGGCAACTTGGCAAGACCTCATCTCTACAATAAATTAAAAAACTAGCTGGGTGTGAAGGCACCTGCCTGTAGTTTCAGCTACTTGGAAGACTGAGGCAGAAGGATCGCCTGAGCCCAGTTGGTCGAGGCTGCGATGGCAGTGAGCGTGCCACTGTACCTCAGCCTCGGTGACAGAGTGAAACTCCAACTCAAAAACAAAACAAAAGAATTCCATGGAATTCAAAGATCCACTGAGTACAGTTTATCTTGCAGTGTCCTGGTGGAGGGTAAAAGAATGCCTTGGGACCAGGCATTATAGAGCATTATCCCATTGCAGAGAGAGCAGGGTTCAAAAACTAATGCTGGCTGGGCTCAGTGGCTCAGCCTGTAATCCCAGCACTTTGGGAGACCAAGGTGAGTGGATTGCCTGAGACCGCAGATTTGAGACCAGCCCAAGCAACTTGGTGAGACCTCATCTCTACAAGAAATAAAAAATTAGCCGGGCGTAGTAGTGCATGCCTATAGTTCCGACTACTTGGGAGGCTGAGGCAGAAGGATCGCAGGAGCTTAGCAGGTTGAGGATGGGGTAGCCATGAGTGTGCCACTGCACTCCAGCAAGGGTGACAGAGTCACACTCCAACTCAAAAAAAAAAAAAAAAAAAGCTAGAGCCACCACTCACTGGCTAGGAAACCTTGGATAAGTTATTCTAATCTTTCCAAGCCTTACTTGCCTAATGTGTACAACGGTGATAATAATTCACATTACAGATCCTTATCTTTTTATAGTAGCCTTAGAATCTTGGGGAAGGAATTTCCCCAAACTAAACAGCACAGATTTAAAATACATTATCTCAGTAACCTACCGCTGATTCACAAAAGGGCTGGAAAACTCGGCAAGCAAGCGAAGATTCCCAATGTATGCCAGCACGCCACCTCTCTGGATGAGAAACATAAACACAATATCATATTATTAGCAAAATACTAGTAAAATTTTAATTCCAAAAAAAAAGAAATGTGCAATAGCTTCTCAACATAATGTAACAATCAATTTTGAAACATACCAAGAAATTTTCTACCCTGTACTGCTACACTGATTTTCTTCTTTGTGAGAACTTAGAAATATGTTTAGAATTCTACAGTATTCTTAAAAAATAGCATAGTGTACACTTATGCTCTTTTATTTATACAATGTTCACTTATGAAAATAGGTTTCAAGTAGTTGTCTCAGTGTTGAACAAATGAACTCTGTAAATACTATTAATAATGGCATTCTCAAATTATTATAGAAAGAATAATCACAAAATAGTGCAAATTTCAGAAGTTGAGGAATTTTATAACAATTCAACACCTAAGAGGAACTTGTTTTTACATCCAACATCCATTATTAAATAGAAACACCTTATAAATCTCAAAGTGCACTTGTCCTAAATAACATATAATCATGTGAGCAGACACATATCTGCCCAATGAAAAACACATGCCAAATCTTGCCTATCATATTTGACCTGAAAAATATATTTGTCAACCAGAGGGTCCTAAAGCTAAAACACCTTCGGAATCATTCTAAATTTAAATACATTACATAATACATTCTACCAATTTAATAATATAAAAAGTATAGCAGAATTAATAATAAACATTAGAAAGAAAACCAAAAGCATACGTTCTAAAATTTTTATTTAATACATATTAGAAATTGCTACTAAGTAAATGGAGGTACTCAGGCACTTCCAATTAAATCGGAATTATTACCACATGCCACAGAAAACAGTCCCGCTCACATCCAATCCATTAGATATATGTGAGACGTTGAAAACTCTTATTCTACTGGTGATATCATGTTGCCTTCCAAACAGGAATAGAAAGCATTTTTTAAAAACTCTTTATTTGAATATTTTTAGTATTTATCCATGTAAACTACTTCAAATTATAAGCTTGATGGTAAGAATTATCTTTACCAAGGCTAACTAAAAATGTTTCATCATCTCAAATTCATTGTCCTTGGTGATACTTGAATATGTGATGAGGAAGAAGGAAGACGAGATGGCCAAAGGAGCACAAACAGCAGGCAGGCTGAGAACTGTGAGCACCGGGGGAGTCAACCAGGACACAGTCATACCAGTCCAAAAACACAACAGAGCATGAGAAAGAACTGTGCATTACATTGTGCTATTACTTTAACATAGAAATATTAATAGGTATTTATTTGAAAATACACATTATTATCAGCTGGATGCAGTGGCTCAAGTCTGTAATCCCAGCACTTTGGGAGACCGAGGTTGGGGAACTGCCTGAGCCCACAGGTTTGATACCAGCCTTGGCAACTTGGCGAGACCTCATCTCTACAATAAAATAAAAAAAATTAGCCGGCCATGGTAGCGCACACCTGTAGTTCCAGCTATTTGGAAGGCTGAGGCCAAAGGACTGCCTGAGCCCAGTGGGTTGATGCTGGGGTGGCCATGGGCATGCCACTGCATTCCAGCCTGGGTGACAGAGTGAGACTCTCACTCAAAAAAAAAAAAAGAAGAAAATACACATTATACTACACTGTAGACTTTTCTGTTACAATAAATGCTTTTATTTAAACACGATGGGAAAAGTGCTGATTGATTTAGATGTACTTGCCTTGTCCCAGACTTGTGAGATTCAGTCTCCTCAGGTGCTTGTACATCTCCCCACTAAGACTGTATTGTTTTGCTAGGGCTGTCATAACAGAGTACAAAATGCTGTGTGGCTTAAACCACAGAAGTGCATTGTCCCACAGTTCTGGAGGCTAAAAGCCCAAGATCAAGGTGTCAACAGGGTTGTGCTCCCTCTGAAGGCACTAAAGAAGTTCTGCCTGCTAGCTTCCTGCAGTTCCTAGGTATATGGCAGCCTAACCCCAATCTTCACATGGCGTTCTCCCTGCATACATATCTGTGTCCAAATTTCCCCTGTTTACAAGAACACCAATCATAGTGGAGTAGGGTGAGTCCACTACTCCACTATGTGTTCATCCTAACTGATATTATCTACAGTAACCCTACTTCCAAACAAGGTCACATTCTAAGGTTCTAGGAGTAGTTCCTTAGCATAATGAATTTTGGAGGGGACACAACTCAACCCACAACAAAGCCCAACTCCAAATTATTTTCTGTGCATGGTGCAGAATGATTTTGGATATATAATTTCCTAATCAATTCCATGTGTCTTTCCATCCATTTAAACAAGTCATTATATACTAATATATATATATAATAATATATATATGTATAATATAGATTTCCATGTACAATAATAATAAATTTCTTTATCAGTGATGTCTTCAGCATTCCAGTATTGGAATCATGGCCATTCTCAATTTTATTATCTGAATTCTTGGAAAATACATTCATAGCACAAATGATGTAGTAGATTAAACTATCAGTACAAAGCACAATGGTTAATCCAGCAGGCAAAGTCAGAGATGAACGGCTACTGCTCACAGTTACAACAGACTTAAGTTATATCAGAGCACTGTAACAATCTGAATAAATTCATTTTAATACATAATAGGAATCACATTTACAGCTAGAAAGCAGAGGGGTGAAAAAAGAGCAAATGTCTGACCTCTCTAACTTATCCAGCATCAAGAAGCATTTTTAAGAAAAAAGGAAACAAATTGCCATTCACATTTCAAGTCCTAGATACTGTGCATGTCTTAATTAAAAATTTTTAGTGACTTGTTCAAAGCCTTGGTGAGTTTTCTCAAAATAATTGGTTGGAATATTTGCATTAAGAGGAGATTGGTTAGAAGAAAAGTAATTGCATTTGATTGTAGATGATCCCAGTAAAATAAAAATGAAACGTTCTGCTCTGATCTCCCTCTACAGGTAAATTCTGCAGTGAAAAAGATATTTTAGTATGATTCTTACTTAAACCTGACATAAAAATCTTAGAAATATTTTAATTAGTATACTCCCTCACTAAAATAGATTCATATATGTAACATGCACTCTTGTTTTTGAAAAATAAATTATCTCATAACATTGCCTTTTTCTTCTCAGTTCAAGGTGGCTCTTTTCCCAATTTATTTTTTCTAACAATTTTCTCCTCATGTTTAGTTATTTTAAGTCTATGACTTTCTACACAACCGTGGCCAATGTTCAGAGAATATGACACACCAGACTGCTGCAAAATATTATGACTCAATGTTTTTCTAAGGTCAGCCAAAGTCCTTGCTAAATTACTTACCGTATCCTTCAAATATATAGTTTTTCCAAAGGTGAGCTCCAACACTGAAGATTGTTTTATTTTTATATGACTTCTAAAGTATTTTAAAGCAGGAACCCTAAAGCTATATAAACACTGAGGTAATACAGTAGCAACAGGCTCAATCTTCATTAAACTATAAAAGCCAATTCTAAAAGTTTCTCTCTAGTTAATATTAATTTCAAAAGTACAAAAATATTAATGAAACAGATACTATGCCTAAGACATTTTTTGAACGTCTAAAAGATTATTTCTTCCAACTCCTGAAGTACCAAACTAACATCAGATAAAATCTGCCTTATGATATTCATTAAATATTTTAAAAGTTACTGAAAAAATAGTAAATTTGATATGTTGTTTTTATCTAAACAATTTTTCCAAATTTTGAGGAAATTGTCTCAAATTTGAAAAAAAAGATTGGGCATAACTTCCTGACACTTTTCCTAATCTCTCCCTCCTCTTCCCAAAGAGAATAATAATTAGTTCTCTATTTCTAAACCAGTGGTTCTCTACATGTGGCTCCCAGACCAGCAGCATCAGCATCCCCTGGGAACTTGCTAGAGATGTATATTCTTGGGTCCCATCCCAGACATATCGAATGGGAAACCCTGTGGGGTGGGACCAACAACTGTGTTTTGCAGGCCCTCCAGGTGATTCCAAGATATACTGAACTGAGAGAATGTCTGTCCAAGTCTAGAAATGATCAGGGATTTCTAAGCCTGAAGAAGCTAGCTCCCTACTTCTCTGAAACTGTGGTTAGTAAGGGTTTACACTCTAACCAGATCCCACATCATTATCAAGGTGAACCTACTACATTCTTCTCAAAAATCTTTCCCTGGGCTGTGTCTCCACAGAGCTCTCCACTTATCTGTTAGAGTACTTAGCCCCTTGTAAATAAATACATTCCCTATGCCTCATTCACAATTATACCCATAAAGCCTAGTCCAGTGCCTGGTCCATGCTTCCTGAGTTGAATTTTGCCTACTCACTAGTGTTAAACAAGCACATCACCTCCAAAGTCAAAATCCCAAGTTTCCTTCAGGCCTATTTCTGAGTGGGCGAGAGCACCATCACTTTGTATTCTAAAAGAAAAGAAGAAAAGTATCCAGATTTTAATTTCATAAAGAGATCAGTGAGAAAAAAAAGACTGAAGTTTAAACTCCAAAATTTGATACACTTAGATTAGCAAAGCAAAGCAGGCAAAAGTGGGCAAGAAAATAAAAGAGTAAGGGAATTTGAGGCCCACGTAATAGAAGGAAAATATCTAGAATCAAGTGACTAGTGAGCATACTAGCAAAGTAGGGAGCAACTGATAAAGTCAAAAAGAAAGATAAACAAGAGCTCTGCCCTTAGCTGTATGACCTTGTGCCGATTACTGAACTTCTTTGACTCAATTTTGAGAAATGTATAAAATAGGGATAATATCATATAACAGAGCTGTTGTTAGAACTATGTGGCTGGTGGGACACTTGGGAAAATGGCGTCGGGACAAGTTGAACTGTGAAGATCTCCACAAAAGGTGGCTCCTGAAGGCAGTTCCATGTACTCCTGCAGCCGCCGCCTACACGGGGATGGCTACTATAGCCAGTCCCATGCAGCAAACTGCCTCCGTCACACTACGGCCTCCGCAAGGGATTACAGCTGTTTGCTACCAGGTGCTAAACAGCTGCCAACACTGTGGCTCTAAGCTCTGGCCCCGGGCAATTC